AGCGTGCGCATACCAGAGGACGATCTGTATCTACAACAATTTGTCCGGAAAGGAGGAAAAAGCAAATATTCGCAGAACAAGAAACGCAATGTAATTGTGAAATAACACAATGCGACATTAGAGAGTCGCGGACATTAATGACTGTCAAGCGAGACGGCGCTAAGCTGAGATCAGGCGCGATGAAGCCTTCAAACGCGCTCAGCGTCGTCGTTATTTTCTCCGGCGGCGTGCACGCGCGAGCGAGCGACTCTGCCGAGCGAGTATCGCGCGGACCCCGGGGTATCAACAGTTCCGCTTAAATCCCACGAGGCAGAGCACGAGTGGTAGTAGGTGTACCCGACTAAAGTACGCCTATCCCGAAGCCAGGCTAAATCTGATTACGTCGAAAACGTCGCTGCCAAGCAACCGTGTGCCGGCAGGCGAGTCAACCGAGTCGACGATCATTCGATTAGCGAGCAACTCGAGCGACCTGGAGCGCGAGACGGCCGAGCCCGCGAGAACGGCGGACGTGATCGTGAATGGAGAAGATCAGCGGACGAGCGTGGGCCGATAATCTCCGGCCTGCGGCCTATTTTCAGAATAGTCGTTCAATCAGGTGGAGGAGTGACGCAACGCACGTTGAAATGGGGAAGGTCGATCCGCTGACGCGGCACACTCTGACACGACGCACGAACCAGCAGCAGCGGGTGTTATCACACCCCGACGCGTATCACAAAAAGGTTACACACACACACACACACACGGGAGCCAGCGCGCTTGCGATTCGACGGCGGCGGCGTTGCGGCGCGACGCGGCGCGGCGTGCCGCCGCGAGTATAGTGGAGGCAGCGTTACGCTCGCGAGAGGTCGGGTCAGAGCTGACTACACCACCGGCTGTTTACGGATCGCGCGCGGCGCGAGCACCTCTTCGCGCGCGCGACTCGCGGCGACGGAGCAGCCGCCGCTGGAGGAGACGGTGGAGGCGGCGCCGGTCGCGGCCGAGCGAAACACGTCTTCACACGTCGTCACCGGGTTGCGTGAGCGGCGAGCCTCCGCACCACGTGCTTCACGGCGCGATCGGCGAGATGCGAGTCCGCGAGGAGGCCTTCCACGAGAAACTTGTGTCTGTGTGTGTGTGTGCCTGCGTATGTGTGTGTGCGCGCGTCCGTGGTTCTGTGTGTGTGTATGTGTGTGTGTGTGTGTGAGTGCAAAGGGGTGCGGAACGCGTCGCTCGCGATCTACGTTCTGCGGCATACTAGCTCTCCTGCCCTGACGCCCACCCCCCGACCGGCTTCAGCGGCGACCCCTCCCGCGACCCCTCGGGCCACCCGCCGTACGTCAGTTCCTTCCTTTCGCCCTCCACCTCTTCCTCTCTCTCTCTCTCTCGCTCGCCATGCCGCCCCCGCATCGACGGACCGACCGTTTCGCAGTACCGTCAGCGCCGGTAGCTGCCACCACTGGACGGGGTTGCGTACGGTGCCGGACGATACGGCGCCAATCAATCGTGATCCACTTTCAACCCTCCGGCGGATACTTTCTTCCGGCTCGTGCCGTCCCTTCAGCCTGGCCGAGTGGCTCCCTTAAGAAGTGTCCCCCGCGCTCTGCCCATCACTCTCCGCTTTTATGGGCTCCTTCAGTGCTCGATGGCGCCGGTGCGCGCGTTACGAAGTACTACAAGTTGCCCGAGAGACTTAACCGCTGCTTCCTCAGCCGAGAGTGGTGGAGATGTAATCTCGCAGGATCGTATTTGAACGCGCCGCATCGCGAGAAACGAAGTCGACGCTTCCCCGCTGAGTAACGAGGTTTGCGCGCGCGCTAAGCAAACGTTCATTGCGCGCACGCATGCACTCACGAACGCACTCACGCATCGCTGCTTTCCCCCGAAAAAAAAATCGGATTTCCTATCTCTCGGAAACAAGCGCCTCGTACAGATACCGTTGTCCGCCCGACTATTCAATACCGTTTCTATTCATTGAGAAAGCGTATTGCCAGCGGTGCTCCGAAGAAGGAGGTGTAGACAATACGAGGGGAAACAGCGCGGACAAAGCAGAAGGGAGAATAAAGTTGGTGGGACACGAAGTCGGGGAGGAACGAGTGTAACGTATTAGAGCTTCCAACGACTTTCGATCCCGTCATATTATTGGCTCGACTTGAGAAAACGGGGACGATGATTAAATTTCGCTCACGCGGGATAATGCACCGAGGTACGTCGTAATTACCGGTTCCTGCAGCCATGTTTGATGACATATCTTCGCGGCGTAATTATTCAGCGGCGTGCATATCAGAGAGAGCATCTGCGATCTATAATCGTTTTTGTTCAGTGGAAGCAAAATCAAATATTCACGGAATAAGAAATTTCATGTAATTTTCAAGTTCCTATTTATGTTTCACACAAGCTAAAAGCCACGTTGCAAACTTCGTTTATTTCCCAAATTGTAACAAGTTTCACCTCGCGCAGATTTACTCTATTCGTAAAATATAAAACAGATCGAAGCAGTTATTCTATACACATGCGTCGCATATATACGGTTAATACGAATTTATTTCGCGCACGTCCTTACGAATGCATTTTTCTCACGCGAGAAGTACGTTCGTTAAGCACGTACCGATTGATTTATCGTCGCGATTGCATTCGCGCGGTTATATCGCAATAGATGCATATGCATGCATTTTTATGGAATATAAGTCTCGAGCGCGCATCTCATCGATCTTCACGTTTTCCCAAAATATTAAGCGCATGCGCTAATCTTTTTCTTGGACGCTCGCCGTGATCGTGTGGGCGATGGATCAAGGGCTCTCCCGCCTTTCTCCAGCGTGCATTTTAATGCATCACAAGCGTTCTTTGATGGCTGGATGAATCGATTTTCCCGGCGCAATATTATTTCCCGTTAACGAAGCAACAAGTTCCACGTTTTTACGGATATCAATCGTTTACTCGGTTACCTTTTCATAAATCGTGCGGTGCAGGCTTGCAAGTTTCGGTCTTGTGTCAATTCCGGATCCGATTGTCGAGTTTCTACGTGGAACCACGTACGAGCACGCGGATTTAGAATGCGACGCGCACGGGACAACAATGCGATTGCGTCTCGCCGTGTCTATTTGCGCATTCAAAACTTGCAATACCCAACCGTGCCTTTGCCCACTGCCGAATTTGATATTCAACGCGCTGTCAAGCGGAATATGCGCGTAAAATCCGAAGCCGCGAGAAAAATGGCGCAAGTACGCGTGTGTTTATGTGCGCGTAATATACGGCGGGCAGTAACTTCGGCGCGCGCATGAATAGTGAATGTAACAGGCTGCCATGGCGAGACTAGCTTTATTTTTATTGTTCTCAGCTTTCTTCTATACGTGAAAAAGTTCCTGCTTATTTCCCATAATGCGGCGTGTCAGTCCGTGAACGCGTATCGTTAAAAATAATTCACGATGTATAGCATATTCCACAGCGTAATCTCTCGCGTCGCGCTATCAAGATTTATACATCGGTCCCTTGACGCGGCAGATGTGTGAGAAATAAATAATTGCCGCGTGTGAAATCTTAATGGGACAACACAGCGAGGCGAGAGCGAGCCTTAAAACTTCTTCCGAAACTACTAGTTCGCGTCTTCGAAGAGTAACAATGCCATCTTCTTTTCTCTTTTTCTTTTCTCACGAAGAACACATACGAAAGCAGCAGCTCGCTCGATCTAATTAAATGCATCTCGCGCCAGACGCTCTTTTATTTTTGTCCGTTCCACTTATGTCGCTAATCGAAGTAGGGCGCCACATCGATTTCGGCTGTATCCAGAGCGAGATGCCAAATATCTCGTGAAAGGACACAGCGGGGTTCTCCATCTCGAGACGCCGATCTAAAATAGGACCAGACAGAAACGCGGACGAAGCCGGTCGGTGGGATGCAAATAAATAACGAGCATCGCGCGTCAAGGATGAAGAAGGAATTAATAAGGCGCCTGGTAACGAGGATAGCTATCAGGACGCGGCAGATAGACCGATTAAATTGCTCCTCTTTCGTCTCCCACACACACACACACACACATGCATACACACACCACGGTTCCTGTCTCTTCTCTTTCCGCTCGTCTCCGCCGCATTTATCTTCCTCCTGCTGCAATTCTTTCCCTCCGTTCTCCCTCCCGACCGCCCTCTCTATCGCGTCCGCAGCAGCTACTACGGGATTTTTAACTGAGAATTTTAACGATCGACCTACATTTCCGCGCTCCATTTACGATGTATCCTAGGTAATGTCAAACACCGCGATAAATACACCGACCGGATCAGCGATATAGTCGTCGTAGGAACAAACAGCAACGATACCGCACGACTAGACGACTATCGGGATATATCCGTGGAAGTAGTTTGGCGAAAGATGCCATAAAAGTTATCCGATGTAAACATGAATCTCCTCTCGCGGATTTCACGATCCACTTGTTCTTGAATTCAGGAACCGAATGTGTCTGGCTGTCACGTATAACGCCAGCACGTTCACGTGTACAGATGTAATCGTATTTACGTAAAATTCAACGATGGATTGCAGCGATCCCCCTCTCGCGGTATTTTTATTGCGTCCTTTTAATGATATATCGTTACTCGTTTCCGCGAAAAAGAAGGAATGACGAGTATCATTCGCATCCGTTCCCATTCATATTTTTACAATCGTCGATCCTTATCAAAGATTGAATAAACCCCCAAACTTTGATATCCTTCTCCATAAATTAATGAACGGTGATGAGAAAAGTGCTGCAGAAGCGACTTGTCAAAGTTTGGCCGCTTCTTTTTAAGCTTTCGTTTTTGTGTAAGGGATAGGGTTTAATCCGTCGCTCCAATTTTTCGCACGAGTTTCAGCGATCGTCTTAATGATACAGACGCTTGTATAAAGTTTCCGTGTGTAAACACGTTCCAACGGAAGTTTATCCGAGATTACTTTGCGATAGTTTGCGATGTAAGCTAAAAGACTGGCTTTTACAAGGGTCAGTCGTTCATTTCGCTCGCGCTCCAGTTCCCGGCTTTAAATTATAACGTACTTACCCTCATATGCGGCTGGACCAATAAATCCTGAAGTTCTCGGAGATCGGCTCTATCGATATTTCGCACTGCTGAATGCTCCGCTTCCCGCAGGATCTCTTCAACATCGCGAGCACGTTGGGCCGCATCCGTTTGCGGTGCTCTGCACGGTGTTGGCATGCGACCTGAGATCCTGTCATAAAGCTGGAAATAAATAATATCAACAGTGAGGATCGTTGCTTTTTAATGTATACGATAGAATAATACATTATTTCAAATTTTAGATGTAGTTTCACGTCGCTTCCAAAATTTATTAGCAGACCGTCATATTCAATATCGTTTCTGAATCTTTAATGTCGTTAAAAAATTTACTAGGTAAATAAATGATAACAAGTTACCGCTTCAGATCGAAGAGTCAGCTACATAAGAAAAACCCGAGTTTCTTAATTTATTTCACTTTTTTCTTTCCAAATATTAATATTTACACAGATAATATATTTAATTGATAACCATTCTCATACCTTCTTCGGATAAAACCGTTCAATTAAAGCATCTTGCTGTTTTATTATTTTTGTTAAAGTTCTAAAACTTACGGTACTTCGCAAATGTTCGAAGAAAATTCAAACTTTATTAATATTTAAACTTTCCCACAACAGATACAATTTAATCTAGTTACAGTTCTTACTATAGTTTTCAATAAATATCCCAGCATAAAAACACACATTTCGTTCATATACATTTCGTACTTGAAATATCAAACAAGCACGATGTATAATAAAATGTTGCGATCATTAATAAGATTGGGAAATGATTACAATGTTATTAACCGACATTAAGATTGATACCGGGAGTGGGGCAATGGTTCATAAGCAATCCATGAGATGTCACATCACACGGTGAACGCTTAAATTCGTTAGCGCCGGCGCAAGTTTGTTTACATCGAACTTGGACATGCGACCCTGCTCTAACAGTCCGCAATACCATTTCACCGAATCGCATCGGTTTAATCACTAGGAGGTCCGTTGTTTCAAATAGATCACCGGCTAGCTCGGTGTTACCGATTAACATCAATTGACGTCTCTGTCGTACTTCTGTCTGCTAGACAGCGGGACAAGTCTGCCCGCGCACGTGTAGCATGGTCCTAGCACGTGACTTATACGACCACGTGACACTTCAGAAACTGCCGAAGGAGCGCGTTCAAATTGACGTGCATGTTGTCGCAATCATGCGATTCTTCGATCGTACGGGACATGTTATTTATCAGGACTCCACAGCGGCCATCTTGCAAGCCCGCAGGCAGCGCTTGCGTTTTCCCTCATAGGGGATGAGAGTGGGCGCTCGTTCCCGCGGGATACTCCAGGAGTGAACGATACGTGATCACCGAGCGGAGGGCCGGGAGTAGGTGGCTCCACTCTCAGTGGAAAAGCTCAAGCTTTGTGGCGGCGGAATTCAGCCGCGTGAAAAGGGAGCTTTCGAGATGACTGCCGATTCGTGTTACAGCGGGGTTGAAATGAGGGTAACAAGGCTCAAACGTTAGCGCAAGCGTGGCAAGGTAGGCGATCGTTACCCGCCGTCCTCGATAAGGGACAGACAGTACGGTCTGTTTTACCGTACGTGTGCCGTGAAGGCGTCCTCTCTGTTTGTTACTTGCAGTCGATTGCAGAAAGTCACGCTGCCGATGGGAATAAACAGCGCGAAAATAACTGGAGAAGAATTTGAGGAAAAATTCTCAACTCCGAAAATAGCCTGTCTGCGAAAAACTGTTGCGATAAAAGCAATCGCTTGGACGAATGAAACTGACGGCCGTTCTCATTCGAGCAAGTATCGATTTAATTTCACGGATGGTTAACACGATATGAATTGCGTTCACGTTAGTGAGATTTAACGCTGCATCGACATATTATTTGTTCCATTCGCCTGATATACGTTTAAACACGAGCACAACTCGCGTTTCGTTTATTCAAGCGATTTCTTTAGAAGTTTCATACATTTAGATTGTCACCTCTCCAGCGTTGCAGAATGGTTACTATGTGCGAATCAGAGGGGAAAAGCTGCTTGAAATCTTTCTAAATTAACTGTTAACGTTTGAACAAGTAATATTCTGTGACAAGCTGTGCGAAATTAAAAAAAAGCTCGTTACGGCTTGCAACACGAAGCCAGTTAAAAATAACGATTTCATTTGACAAGTGATATATTTCGAAAAAGTTTAACTATGAAAGTCTGAATTTTCTTCGATTATTGTGCTTGATATTTTCAAGACCCGGTTCTTTCGTTTATTTTAATTGATGCGGAATATTTTCTCACGTTCTTCTTTTGTTTTATCACAGATTACAAATAGATACCTCTAAGATAGCTCGAAGTCGATGATCGTCAACAGCATTGATAATTTCGGGGCGTAACAATCTACCGCTTTCTTGAAGAACCTCAATGTCATCCAGAGAATCCACGATTTCGGCTACAGCGCCTGTAACATGAAAACATATTAAATATTGTCTCTACAAAATGTCCTAACTCTAATATCCTTTCCATCCTTGATCGTGAAGACGATGGTACATACTATTTCATCATGCACTTGAAAGATAATCGGCAATACTCGTGCGATATACATATATATCTCGCGCAAAATTGCAAAGTTTCCAAATCGCGCGTCATCATCGATCCTATTGAAATAGTAAATTCCGAAGCACCTAAACGACAAGTTGGCTTGTATCATGTTATCATCGCATTCATCAATATGGAAATATCGCGAGCTATTGGGTGTATGAAGGACGCACCTAAATTTCCTACGAAGGGCGAAATGCGATCTTAGCAAAATGTAAGTTGTATCTTATTTATTGTCTGGATTTTTTTGCCACCAACACTGGAAATGTAGTTATTATTGTCTTCACAATAATAACTGAAATAAAACTCGAAATACTATGAAATAAAACTTGCGTTTGTCCTTTCTCGCGAATTAAATGTTTTTTCTGAGCACATACATGGTATATACGTATTACATATACATTGAAAGGAAAGCAATTTCACCCACGTCGCATTTTGTCGACCGTCGAGTGTATCCGATTAAATTCCATGGGTGCTCGCTTTTCCACGCACCTGTAGTTGTCACCTCGTCGTCCCCGACGTCGGAGAAATTGTCGCCATTAGCCTCTGAATATGGGGCGTGCCATTTCGACGAGGAGACGGCTGCTTTCACGGCGTCCTTCAATTTTCGCCTCGCATTGAATTTCTTAAGCTCTTCTATAGTCTCGCCTAAGTGTATACGGGCTGCACCCTTATCACGATCCTGCAAATTAAGATCCGTTCATTCGCGACCAAATGTACTGCAATCGGTCGTCGCTCACGACCAGCTGCATTTGCGACATTCAATTGTAGAAACTATCCGACATTCACGACGAATACCGATGACGCCCGGTTGTTTACCGTGAAGAAAATTCCGAAGAAAATGAGCAGCTTCATCGAGTGAGTGATATATAATTGAAATATTCTCCCTCGCGCGCAACAACATCGGCTCGTTTCCCTCTCACTCTTTCTCTCTCTCTCTCTTTCTCTCTAGTCGTGGCGAGAGAAGAAAGGTCGATTGTGCATGCTTCCACCAAGTCCTCCGGGGTTCGACGAACGTGTAACCGTGTAAAAAAACTCTAAGCAGTACAGCAGCGCGAGGTATACGCGGCTACAGTTATTTTCATTAACCGCCGGTGCTTTGCTCCTACTATAACGATCGATAGCCCAGTTGCACGTGTGCGTTGCATCGAAGAAGTATGGGGGTTGACTCCGCGAGTGTTGCTACCTTAGGTCACTGGCTAACTGTTTTGCACCACATAGGTAATATCCTCGCACCATATGGTGTGCGCGTGCGCACGCACATTCATCGGACATAATAACGGGGAACGAGGCCACGTGTACATATATATACACGGCGTAATTATAAAATAAATTCCCGATGTATACTATCACTGGCGATCGAACGGAAGCAGCCGCTACATCGATTATATCCCTATCAGGAGTTGCCAGCGTGACGTGGAGGAACGTCGGTCGTCACCGAGGAACGCGGCGAACGCCCACACGCGAACGATTATTATACAGCTCGGACGCGGAATCTCCCCCCTCCCCCCACTCTCTCTCTCTCTCTCTCTCTCTCTCTCTCCCTCTGTCTTCCTCTATCGGCCATCGTATGCAGATGATAAGGGCGCCGCGGATCGCGCCGCTTTACTTACTCTAAGCCACTTGTGGTTGAGAACCTCCTGGATGGTGATCCTATGATTTACGTCGGTCGTGAGCATTCTCTGTATGAGGTCTTTCGCCGGCTCGCTAATGGAATCCCAGAGTGGCGTCTCCATCTGCGAATTCAATTAAATCGGAATTACTACTCGCGGAGTGCGCGCTCGAAAGACGGACTCTCGGCTTGTGCGGAGCGCGCGCGAGCGAGCGAGCGGGCAAACGGTCGAAGCAGCGCGGCGAGCGTTATTAAGGAACTTCTTTTTTTTTCCACAACGTACTCGTCCGCGCAGACTAACAGCGTTAGGAAGCGGTCGTTGACTACGTGAGACAGGATCGTTACCTGCACCCGCCCTCGGCATATCGCTTCCCGTAGTCTGTCCCGGGAGCCGACGAATGGAAGTGTACCGGTTAGCAGAACGTGTAACAGCACCCCGGCTGACCAGACATCACCGGGTTTCCCGTATTGTCGCCGTTGAATCACTTCCGGCGCCATGAAGTGTGGACATCCGACACGACCTGCACGAGTACCAAGAGTATCGGTGAGCAAAAGGAGATGAAGCTGGGGGATCGGAAGCGAGGCGTGAGTGATTGTTCGGGAACTTCGCAGTCGATCGTTACGCGAAACGGGCCGCTCGCAACGCGAGCACCGGCCCGAGACCGCGAGATTTCTCCGCCGAAATGAGACATCCGCGTGCACGGATTCTCCCGGAGTCCCGCGCGGAGACTCTCCGACGATGTGTGTGCACGCGCGTGGCCAATAATCGGCGGTTCTTTCTCCGTCCGAATCGATCGTCCGTCTCTCTTTTTCTCTTTCTCGCGCGCGCGATGAGAGAGGATTCGGGCCGCGCTTCTATTTGCCGCCGTTATCGGGAACGTCGGATCGACTGGACGTATCAAGTGTAATTAATGACAAGGAACGAAACGTGTCAAACGTAAAGACTACTGCATTCCCCGAAGAAAAAAGAAATATATGGAAACAGACACACTCGTCACAAAATAGCTCCGAGCCTCCGCACGATATATNATATATATGTATATGGACGCAAACGTCTTTCACGGACGATAACCAACGTGCTCAACTTGCTTACTCTTTCAACAACCTATATTTATTAAGAATCGGTAAATGACACAGAAAGCGGCACGGGAGGGAATGTAGGTCACTGCACGTCGAAGAGTCTACATGGAAAAAGATGAGATGATCAAGGCTGTAAAGCAAAGACGACATAATCGCGATCGGGTACACCGTTAAACGCTAGAAAAGTTTTCGCTCAATTATTGTGTAACGCTCAGTACGTATGTAAAAAAGAATGTAGGAATCGCACGATGCATTACACGATGTATTATTTGCGCATATATATGATTATGTTAATCCGGTTGTTGCCTGGCAAAACGTGGAGAGAATTCCTTTCTGAAATATAATTCAATATGTATATGTAACGAGTATACGTTCCAATTTTTAATATTTAGTTACATTTTATATATAATCTACTAAATCACGTACCCTATATACATGTATGTATATGATCTACTATACATAGTTACATTATTCTATGTGATGAGCTCTTAACTATACTTGATCTAAATTTTCCGCTCATATATGAAAGAATGAATATTACTAGAACATACTGTACGAATATATATATTTCTATATATATATCTCACTGTATATAGGAAACAAATATACATATTTTTATCACAGTCCTATTCGTAAAAAGAGATTAGAATATATAAAGTAATTAAAATCTACAAAAGAGATACGACTTATATAGTTTCTTTTCTAATAGTAATTTAACTCCCGCAATATAGTGAGTCAAAGAAACTCGGAACCACCGATAATAAATGTAAATTAACCTTCAATAAAAAGAATTTTTCACGGAATGATATTGTTACATTAATTGTACTCTGCCGCAATTATTTCAATTAAAAGAATATATAGATGTAATTAATAACATATTCTCCGAAAAAAAAAAACATCACTTAATTTTATCTAAAAATTGTAGATAAACACACAAAAACGCGCGATACAGTAGTTTTTAGTCAAATATCTGAACAAAAGGTAGCATGGTGCTGGTGCAGAGGAAAACCGATGCAGTTATTTATGCGAGATGAATGCAGCGAATGAAATCAAGCTTAATATTCCACAGCAGGGCAGCGAATGTTTAATAAAAAAAAGGAAAAGTAGAACAAACTTTGACGGTGCCATAAACAGGTGTTAAACTACAGATACATTTAGAAATGAAAGGTTCCATGCGAGTTTCACCCAGCATGCAAAATGCCAGAATGTAAATTCAATGAACAGTACACGTTAAAGAACTAATACGCGCTAATGAAAGATACCAGCCATGGGCGAAGACATTTCAACTTCGTATTATTCGTCGTTTGTTGAGCAGTTATCTTGCGTAATTTCAATTATATGCTTTTCACTCAAAATAATGAGTTGGATAAACAAAGCGACGAGTTGATGACACGATGTACATTTTACGCATCAGTTATATTTTAAATATACCCGGCGTGACATATACGAGAGAGAACGGCTTGAGAAATTCCCGGGCAAATACGCGGAAAAAGTTGATTTCGAGTGAAACGCACTACACGAGCGTATACGCAATTTCGTCTATTTATAGAGGACACAGGGTGTCGAAGTAAAAATATTAATCGCGCGTAAACGCCGCGACAACAAAGACGAGACGCGGAGGAACATTCGTTTCGAAAAAAAATCTCAACTTCTGATACCAGTAAATCGTTTCCACCGATGTAACGGCGGTTGACAGTCGGACGATTTATTCGGTGGCCGACCTCTTGTCGCAATGCACTTTTCCGAATTTGTCGCGTAAGTTACCGCCGTAACTTATAACACAACGTTACCATAAATTCAGTTCCAGCAGAACCGGTGCAGGGTGGAACGACTCTGCGCCGCTGTATGTTTTGATAAATAAACACAGATTATGGGATGACTCTTCGTAAAATATGGTTCACCGGAACTTCGCGTTCGTACGACAGCAGAATAAAATCATGCTCGGCGGGCGATAAGATGCGTATCAGCATCGCCGAGTTTCATTTCAAATTAAAGCGAGCGAAGATTACACTTTTGCGCAACGCGGCTGGTGTATTGTGTTTCGCGGTCATGCGATACGTAGCAACTGTGTGGCAAGATGTGCACACCTGTCATTCCGGATTATCAAGTTTCGTAAGCGAACTGAAGAGATCGCCACTAAGACGATGCTATTCATAACGTAAGTTCTTTATCAAGGGATACCAGGTATGACACTTTCATAATAAATTGCTTGTCATGACGGCGCGACGAACGGTTGTAAAAAATGTCCGCTCTGAGAATATGCGAAATTGTGTTGCAGTCATCGTGACAGGCCGTTCGCAATTGTGTGATATATTATTTTAAGTCGACGGGATTATCGTGATGAAATTTCAAATGTATTTCAATTAGGAGACGCACGTTCGAGATCCGGCGCGTTAACGCGAATCGAATGGAATCACTACGTTCTGTCGTCTTTGTCTTTCTCATTCCGAGCGCATTTCGCGGGAACTCGCGACGAAGCATCGTCCCTCCCTTGACGCGCGGCGACCACTTTCAATTTGTCATCGGTAAATGATGAAAGACAAACACAAAGCGGCATACAAATAGACAGACACACACATACACACACATAGGCTAGTCTACCGCTACGAACAATGACGACATAGACAGGCCCAAATACGCGGGCAATTAGTCCACGAAACCAGACTCCAAACCAGATAAACCGATTGAAGGGTTTATTACGCGTAAACTGAAATGCAAAACCGTTGGAAGCCCGAAAGAATCACCGTCGGATGTAAGACAATGGATGCTCGTGCGCGCGAACGACGACCGTATTGTTTTCGACGAGGCATATCACGGTGCGCGTCTCGTTAATAATGCACGAAGAATAAATTCAATCGTTGCTCGAGTGACGTATATTGATTATGATATCAAGTAAACGTTGTTTGTTATGCAAATTTAGGACGACCAATTTGGGACAATATAATTTACTTTAGCGTGTCGCAAAAATAGAATAAAATCGGCCAGTTTTTAGTATTCGCTGCTTGTTGTAGAACGCTATTTTTCTCTTTGTGATTCGGTTCCCACCGCTTCGGACGTGCGAATATACTACGAGATGATGAGATATATATGTTATTCACAATAGATGATGAGATATATATGTTATTCACAATAGATGAATTAGGCCACCGGTCGAAATATATGGCGACGACGCGTTGTGGGTTCAATCGATTCGGCCAATGAGCGAAGATAGCGGCTAGAATGCATTGTGGGCGCTCACAAAGCAAATTCAGCCATTGTCGACGCTTGACTGTTGCAAATAACACATCCCCTCGATTTTTAGATTTTCAATATCCTCTTTGCGCGAGAGAAATAATGACCGATCGATATCCCACTGTCGAGGATCCGGTTGACCGCGGATAATGATCATCGGTTTCCAGCGTAAAAACTGAAAACTGCCAAGGCGAACTTTTTGATGGATTATGAATAATACGTTTTTATTGAAAACCCCTGACTCGCCGCCACACGGAAATGCGACGTTCGCTCGTCTGTCGGTTCGTTCGTTCCTCTGTTCGTTCGCTCGTAGGTACACACAGACCGCTCTCTCAGTTTCGCTTCGTACCGATGTCGATGAAACAAAGTAAACGTTAACGACGCGCCGTAACGAACCCTTCAATTCTGTCAGAAACCAAAAAAAAAAAAACTTATCCCAATCCTACAACGATGAAGCAGAGCTTGTGTCATTCGCGCGTTGCAAAACCAGACACGCGTACGACGGGGCGGGGTTTGGGGATACGGGGACAAGAGGAAGAAGTCGCTCTCTCACTCGCTTCCTCTCGACGGCACAACGAATATACCAAGATCTGTTACTACGCGACCTGCACAACGATATTACAAGAAATAACGCTATCGCACGTATGTCAAGTAGAGTGTCTATACAGACACTACACGTTCCCAAAACTAACATAACCGTACCACGCGGGGGTAGAGGATTTCGACTCGAACGAGAGTAACCCCGGAATGAGAATCCGGCCGGGGATCCGCTCGACGACGATCATCACGGTGCGCCACGTAAGTAGGCGCGTCGCTCGCAAAAATCAGCCGGAAATCACATTTTGCTCGCGCGAGGTACACGCCACGCGAATTATTGTTTCACCGTGCGACTCGAACTCGCCGTATCGAAGCTTCCGCATCCATATAGGTCAGGATGGGTCACGTAAAACGATCTGATCGAACTCGTGTTAACGAGCGTCGAAAGTAACGAGAGACGTGACGAATCGTTTGGAAGAAAAAAAAAGAAAAATGGATTGGAACGTGCGATTTCCCTGACTCCCGTCGACACGCTTATCTCCCGCCGTAACATTTCTCATCCTCGATTGCCTCTCGCGATACGGGGCGAGCGCGGATTACATGGAACACCCTATATACACGTGTGGCCTTGCGCCGTTGATGGAAACGGCTCTCAATAGTATTTTACGATCAGCGATGTGTAAAGAGCACGGCGTTACACACTCGAGGACGCGCGGAAGGAGTGTCCCCCTTTTAAGGAGACGCGATAATTTCTCGCTTCTACCCCCGATCGTGGTATACCGGTCGTTACGTAGATGTGGCAGGCATGTGGATACCGATATTGTCCTCCGTGTCGCTCACTAGCGAATCCTCGGCGTCGGTCAGGTCCTCAAAAGGGAAATTGCAGCTCGGGGAGATCAGCCCTATCGAAAGAACACAGAGAGAAAGGAGAAGGATTGTTACCGTCACGATAATCTCGCGCCGTCGAGCGGCTCCCTGACGCTTCACGGACGATAAGACGCTCTTTGTCGTCATCGCCGTTACTCGTAGAGGAAGACAGACCTGTGGCTGTTGTCGGAGGTGTCCTTGCTCTCATCAGAAATTCGAAATTGCGAGATTAAGAGGTTCTCTTTTTCTCCCTTTTTTTTCATTCTCTTTCTTTCTGGTGGTATGTGTGCGTCTCTACACTGGGTATGTAAGATGTTGAGCTTCGTTGGCGTTCCGCCAACGTCTGTATGCGTATTTCACTTGTTGTATCGTACAGAAAGTGGTATAATTTGCGTATAAACTTGTGTCAGTGCTACATAAAAGCCTGTTAAAAACTTCAGCTTGCTTTATTCCGTTCGTTTCGTAATTTTACGCAGATATGCAATTCGACGCAGCCATGGTGGACACGTAGCATTCGCTCTCCACCGGGCAATCACGGTTAACCGCTTGTACTTCCGTTAAAACGAGATTTCACAACGATCTTGACGATGTAATAAGAAAAATATGTTACGAAATAATTTTACGAATAATAATAAAAAGAACAAAACCGTCACGACGCTCGTGGACGTAAGAGCGGCGAATAATTGCCGAAAAAGGTAATAACAACGTTAGTAACGCGCTATTTCGTAAACATTTATTACTGAAGAGTCGTCTCTAGACTGATACATTAATGAAACCTAATGACAAATATATTATGTATGGTACGAGGGTGACAATCTCCGATCAATGAATTAGCCAAGTCAAAGTAAACATCCGAACGCGTAAAGCAAGCAAGCAAGCAGTGGCAGCTTCTAGAGTACAGTGACGTGAATATAGAGGAGGATAGAGTACACGGAACAGGTTAAAATGTAACATAATACAAAATGTGAGAAGGTGTGAATGTGGATGTAAGAAATGTGTACATGTGTTATATATATATGTGTGTGTGTGTGTGTGTGTGTGTGTGTGTGTGTGTGTGTGTGTGTGTGTGTGTATGTATATATATGTATATATATGGCGTGATGAGACAAGGCTCCTGCGGAAGTGATGATTAAAGGTTAGATCAGGCTTACCCTCGCTGTCGGCCTTCAAGTAGAGCTGCCCCTTTGGGCTCAGACACTGCCGATACTCGGTCGTGTAACATTCTGTATTCATTGAAACCAAATTTCAGGTTATCAGTGTGCGGTTAATCAAACGACGCGCTTTCCTCGCGTTGTCGCTGGCTAACTAACACAATTCCGCGAGAAAACGTTCACGGTGGTAAACTGTGCGATCGGTGCTCTCATCGGAGCATTTAGCCCGTCATTCTCCGCGAGACGACGGTGTCCCGCGCGAATCCCGGGTGGCGTACGAGCGCGTAGAACGAGAAGAATTCAGAGAAGAAGGCAACTTGAGAGGGAATTGTTAAAACGATTCGCTTGATTATGAATTAAACCGCGTTACCGGAAACCCTTTATCTATGGAAGAATGATTCAAGCAGATAGCAGATAAAGCTAATTCGATTACAAAACTCGCATATAAAAAGTCGCGTACCCGAGTTTGCGAGACAGTTTCCCAGTGTCGGGCCTATACTCGCCACGCCGTTATTCCATTTTCAGAATGCCAAATTAGTTTCAAACTGAGAGGAGCAAAGGCCGAAGAGCCGTTGGGGTCAGAGGAGATTAATATCCGACTCGATATAATAGCGGTAACGTCTTAGCGGGGCGAGGAGGCAATTAACCCTAGCAGGTAAAAGTTTTTATCGTCATTAAATTCTAATACCGATTGGCGGGAACTTTTGTTGTGCCGCGTAACTCGCGCGCATAAGAGTGTGTAGCTGTTCGCAATGATCGTTATCGTGTTTTTGTATTTTCATGGTGATATCTCGGTGTAATTAAGAAGTTTGTTCAGTGAGAGTTTCCACCTATAATATAACACTGTCGCACCGTTATTCCATATCATTTAAATCACACACATTATACCTTTATAAACGAGCTTGCATCCTCGACCGATTATTAACCGTATAAAACGAACGGAAAGGTCGTAGGAAGGAAGATCGAACGAAAACGTGCGTTCTATCAACAGCTCTTAACGGCAATGCGATGTAAATGCGACACTCGTCTCTTCGTTTTAGTATCAATAAGACAATCGTCAATATATCGATACAAGTGACAAGTAGTTATGCGATATAATAAAGAGATTTGCTTCGTGATCGAAGACGCTGCTTTAATATCGCATGGCAACGTGCGGAACCGATCAATTTTAAAAACGCGCGGCGAGGACGGTCGCACGAGAGAAATTCAAAATTAGTTCAGGGTGTAGCGATAGAACGAACGGTCGATAGAACGATATCTACGAGTATTGCTAACAGCAAGAGCCATTCTACTTACTGTGTAACCATGCGATATCGAGGCAGCGAAAGATCGTAAAAGAAAGGCACAGACACCAATCGATTGAGGCTGATCAGAAAAGAGAGCATTACGGTTGTCATAGGAAAGAAATCCGATAAAAGCCGTTGCATTCTGCACATCGAACACCGAGAAATTTCGAATGTGATTCGCCAATCATCGACCAAGCCAGCCAATAATCGCAGAGTAGGGCATTCAAAAGAGAGACGATACAAAAACACCGAGTGTCTTTGAAGTGACGCTTGATGAACAGGAAACCATCGTATCGGTATTTGTAAAAAAAAAAGAGAGAGAGAGAAAAAGGAAAAAAAAAACTAGAAAAAAGACAAAAATCTGAATTGCAAATTCTGAGGAGGCAATATTCAATGCGCGCTTTCAGCGGAGCTTCTCGTCCGCATCCGATAATATCACCGTCAGCCACCGTTTAGCGCTCTCCATCGTAAAGGTTATTGTAGTCGTATCTTCACCGCAGGTGATATCGCGTGTCATAATATCCGGGAAAAAAATCTTTAACCAAGCTGTACACACGCGCGCGTTGAGCGAGAAGCACATTTTGCGAGTTTAATCATCTTTATCCACCGTTAAACACGTCGGCGCATCTTCGATAATAATTCCGTTATCCCGGGGAACGCATTCATCCCTTCTCCTCGCGCTGAATATTTTACAGTTTCCTTCCTTCCTCCCGTCAATATGTGACATGGAGATCGCACGGCTAAATGACATTCGTTAAATTCGTTGTCGTAATTAATCCGGCTGAATGTCAACGGGTCGACGGGTCTCGCGAGGTGTTAACGATTTAACATTAACTTCTTCGGATACACAGCGACATATACATAGACGATTATATAATTAAAAAAAAATATGTATAAAAATTACTTGAAAAAGTACATCGCTTTTTGTTGACCAGGTAAAACTGAAAATATCCCACGTCGATAAATTTCTCATTTACGCTAGTAACAAACAATGCAAACAAATCTAATATTCTAATTTTTGGTCTGTGGTCTAACCACGTGCTTCGGAAAAAACGATTCGTTTACTAAAAGTATTAACTTCCAGAAAAATTAATACAACAATTCATCGCGTAAAATCTATACTAATATTGTATATAATGTTTATTTGTAAAAAATGTACTGAGCCATTATATCCGAAATGTATGCGATTGTCTTATACGTAATAGATTTATTTAATTTGAACTGGAAATATCAAAAACCGCGTACATCTATATTTTATTTTCTTTCAATATTTCCGATTTTTCCTCAGTTTGTCGAAATCGATCCCTTCATCGAGGAAAATAACAAATTATCAATAACCTTGTAAATTATTTTGCGAATAATTAGAAAATATGATCTGCGAGATGGTTAAATCATTAAGTGCACGTTGTCGAAAGGCCTTAAATATCACACTTACGCTCGACGATTAATTTAGCGCGCGAAATTCGGTTTATCTGCGCGCAAGCAAACTTAATTAACGTTTCAAAGGAACTCGAGTAATTAAAGTGAAATTAATGTACAATTTACTGTAAATGTATGATTTATCGTCGTTTCGTGTTCGTCGATGAATAACCTTGATAGTCGCCTGTGAGCATTAAATAGTGCCTCTCAGGTGGTTTGCGGATAGAATAAGCGTATAATTACGCATAAGTATATTTCACGTTTAACGTGTGCTTTTACTATATGTGAAATTGACGTCGACGCTAGTGCAAAGTGTTCTCGATAAATTTTACATTCAAATTTATTAATTCCGAGAAACATTACGTTTTTATGGCATTTAAATATACTTGTATTACTGACAGAGCCTCCTCTGTTATAAATAACGTTACTCTGTCATAAAGGAAAACAAAAGGTCCTATTTTTATAGAAGTCGTAAATCACGATAAAATGCTGTTTCGTTTATTTTGCTTGATATTTTTCTTATTTCCTGTCCATAATAATTCCGAAACTTGCTCTATTTTGCGTCTTCTAGCGCCGACCTCACTTAAAAATATTATGAAAAATTTACTTAATGCTACCGCGCTAAAAGCAGCACGACGTCAGCTCTTACGAACTGTGTCACGGTAGGACATGTAGAGTATAGCTCGGAGAGAATTTGCATAGCCCGTTAAAAATAAAAATTTTTCTTTTTGATACTTCGACGATTTTATACCGTAGCTGACGTTTTTTTCAAGTATGATCATTATCGTAACTTCACCGATACACCTGATTCAACATGTTCACTCGTCTCGAACGCCATACTTTTTCTGACCGACAATGTTTCGAACAAGCTATTTCAAGATGAAAAAGCGAAATTCACCGTACCCATTTTGCGAAAATGTGCGGTTGGCCATTCTCGATTATGGCGATATTGGATTAAATGTGATATATACGTTTCTCGCGTTATTTTCATTAATAAGAAAATTTCACCGCGGCGCAACATATTCAAAGACTTCTCAAAAGTGCCCGTAGAAATCTACTCGATGTAAGAAATATACCTGACATTTACATAGAAATGAGAGAAGAACTTTCAGATGCAAACGGTATTTTTAGGTTTTTCCAGTTCAATTAAAGTACGCGTAATAACTACTACATATTAAAAGAAAAAGTAAAAATAAGAACGTATATATGAGAGAAAATGTAAGAAGGAAATAGAAGATGTAATAAAAAAAAATTACGACAATCTTCTGATGCAAACTTAACAACTTTCCTAACAAACCCATACCGTAATGATTTCTGCTCGCTCTTTCCGTGTATTAACGTTAAATATATCACAGCCGTAAAATCTTTTCCACGGATTGTGCTCTGATTTTTTCGTGAAAAATAATTCCTCGGTAAAAAAGCATGTTAACGACCTGACATATCCTACCGTCAGCATTCCAAAATCTGTATTTTTGGTTGAACGGCTAAATTTTATAAGCGCGTACACGCATAATAGACATTAATCCAACGTCACAGTTGTTAAATTTATAGACTCATCTTTATATAATAGTGGTTGTGTCATACAGAACCGCCGAGTTGAAAGAGGAGATCATTAATAATAGCCGAGACGACCGTTCTCTCCGAGCTGACATCGCGCGGCTTTCGACGTGATTCTCTATGCAAACTGCCACGTAAAATGGACCGCGGAAAGAAAACGTAAATGAATTAGGAGGAGGTATGAACGTACCAACGCCATTAGACTGCGATGTCGGGAGTTGCACGGCGACGCCGAAGCCGCGCAGCTTCACCGGGGCGGAATTTTCCTTGCCAGCTAGAAGGGCGCACTGCGGCTTCAGGTCACGATGAATAATGTCGTTCTCGTGGCAGTAACGCAACGCTTCGAGGATCTGTCGCATGTAGTGACTGTAAAAGAAAGCGCAGTTTTCTTAAGCGCCGCTGCTTGCACCTGCACGTCACGGCTGGTACGCCCTTAGCCTGGAACAATAGGGGAAGCCAGTACGAGGCGGAGAAGCACTTTCAGGACAAAGAACCAGTTCTTTCCGAGATTTTAAATGGAGCGATTAAAGTACGCCTCGTTACGTCAAGGAATGATTTTGCGCCACAAAGTCCCTCCCAAAGTGCCAGCGATCCCCTCGCGGAAGGCGCGACTTGGGGGACGGCGAACAATGACGATACGAATCTAAATTACAGATTAGATCACGAAAGTTCGCCGCAAAAAGAATAAAATAGCAATATCGTGTAATGTTACGTTCCTGAGTTACCGCGTGCGAGACCGTGTCGAATAGGGAGAGACGGTCTTTATATTACGCGAATTTAATTAAAGATTCACACGCGATCTCCCCCAATTCTTGCGAGAAAAATTGCATTTCAGAGCAACGCTTTTCGGGCGCGGCCTATTATAATATGATTATTTTTCGCTGAAACTGACTTTCGACGTCTCCGTGTACTTCACTCTTGCAGGTCGCAAAAGGAAAAGAAATGCGGTCTCTGATAAAGAGAAAAATCCTGAGAACACGGTATAACCAAAAGTATAAACAGAGGATGATGGGAAGTATACGGTGTATCACATGAACAACCAAATAATGCGGTTCTTTCTTTACTGTACTCTTGGCGCTTTTGCCTATCAATCAAAGCAGACTTTGATACGATACTATATTGCACGTGATGAATATTCGCATATTTCCATTCGTATATTTGCTTTGCGATATTAGCGAAGGAACATGTTGGATACTGGGGGACGGGACATCAGACAAAAAAGAAAGGCGTATGATTTAAGAGGGGAGAAAAGAAACATCTGAAAAGTTACATCAGCGTGGGATGATATATTTATCAATGCATAAATATATTCAAGCATGTAGATCAAAGAGTTCACAATGCATAACGTTCCGAATATTTTGCTCTCATATTTGAGAATACTTTGTACGGCTTTCACGTAACATCAAAGATATAACGGTACATTCGAGATGAGTTTTAATAGGATCCTTTCAGGATGAAGAATACGTAGTTCAAACGTGATATAAACGAATATAGCGAGTCTAATGGATCGCAGTCAAGGATTTATTGAGACAGGGATTTATTACAGCGTAGGGATATCCTCTCGAGAGAATCCGTTTGCATTATATCGAGGAGTAACATACAGACGGTAATCACATTTCAGTGCGAGCTTCAAGTAAACGCAGACATGCGCGCGCTTGCAGAACAGAGAACACGGGAAGAGCAATTAATTTATCAGATTCGTCTCGCCTTGATATGTCTTATTTAACGAAGCGTATAAATAGATTAGAACAGTTCCGCCAAACACAACAGTATGTTTTAACCTGGTGAAACGCGAGATTGCGTTTCATCGGGAGCGATATTTTGCGACCCCTTCTGAACCGAGTTCTCTCTCCCGAAGGATTTTACGATCACTAAAAAAATATGGCGAACTAAATTTCGGAAAAAGAAATTTCGGAATAAGTGCGGTGGGAAGCGAGGATTCTGGAAACATTTAACTCAAAATAGCGTGGAACATTCTCTTATATGACGCTCGTGCGGCACGATGCCAGCACATCGCGCTCTACACATCCAAAGTAAATGATGCTGGGCTCAACTTTAGGAAATAATGTTCGAATGGATGTACTGTCTGCGGTGGATTAACGACGTTCGCGGTATGTTCGGCGAGGAGAAGGAAGAAGAGGAATAAAGGGCCGCGATGATACATGTAATGAATTTTCTTACCTAGCAACCGCTTCGCTGTATACGAATCCGGCAGTTGCTCGTCTCACAACCTCGAAGCATAAATCAGAGCCATCCATACTGAAAGAGAGACACACGGGCGATATTAACATACCACCCTCTATTTTCAGCCGGAATATTGCATGTGCCATAACAGTTTCGTGATCAAGAATAAATATGCCTAGGTAAATATGACATGAAAATATCAACCGCGCGGCTCAGAGGAATATTACACCTTGTGTGCATATTTCTGCATATTTCAGATATACTGTAATATTTTTATTTCGTTAATCCTCCATCTATATCTATTATTCATATTTCCAGTATAGGGCGGTATATAAGCGCGTGGTCCTCCGTGCACAACCAATCCGTGGAAGATTGTCGATAAAAAAAGGAGGTACGCGCTATGATCAATCGTATAGCGATCGTGTATTGACATAACGGTGAAATATTGCCGCCAATAAGTAATTCCACGTAGCAAATGAAACGGTGTATCGTGAAAAGGAAGTAACAGGGTGCGGCAGAGTGTATTATTTTAAGTCTCGTTAAAAAGCGCCTTGAGCCCCCCGAGTCTATTAAAAACCATGGCTATCTTATCCGATAACGTGGATTATTTCAAGAATATCTCGGATATGTGTATCCAATTATAGCGCGAACTAGTTAGAACGTTATAATAGATAGCAAATAACCAAATGGAAAACGTGCCTTTCTCTAACAAAGATAAAGTCGTTAAGGAAATGTCGCGTATTTATTTTGCCGACACTTTCATTTTCGACGATCGCGATGCGATCTCCCGCTCTGCGCGACGTATAACGTAACATTTCGTTGGATCGAAGATAATAATCATATTAGGAAAATTACAAAATAGAATTGTTGGCTTATAAAGGACGAGATTGACGTCTTTCGTTTCAAAAGTCGCTTTTCTAAAAAAAAAAAACTGGCTTAAAGTTCACGATTGACAGCGCACTACTATGATAATCTCTGCTGCATTTCCTGCAGCCTTAATCTTACAAGATTTGAAATCGCAATATCAAGGTAGATAAGATAGATAGATAAATATTGAACGTGGGTATGACATATAAACACGTTTGCTGTACAGATTGCTACTATCAAATGTTACGCATTAATATGTTAAATTACAGAAGATATGACTTCTCATCAAAATATAAAGCAAGTTTGTTTTCTATATACTTACTATTCGAACACCATGTATAACATGCCCTCAGAACTGTAAGTCTCCAGTAACTCCACAATGTGCGGATGTTTCAACATATGGCATATTGTAGCTTCCCGTTTTAAATCTAAAACATGCGAAATGTGGATTTTACACAACAGATGGCTTTCCCACATGTAAAATGTGTTTTTGCACCGAATGTGAGTTTCAGTCGCGAAATAACGAAACCGTAATTCTCCATTTTATTATAAAGCGAGTTTTATCTCGCTAGAAAATAAACTCGAAGTACGTGGTTACTAGAACAAGTTACTAAAATATTAGAGATTTTAATATAATTACGAAGGTGCAACAAATAGCGCTTCATCGAACTTCCGCTGTGAAAAGATTAACTTCGAATTAAATTCGAGCTTCGAGTGAAATACATGACGAAACATATATATGTATTATATTAAGATAAATAATATAAACTAGTTACGAGGCAAGTGTAATTTATCTGGAAAATAAATATCATTAATATTTACTAACTAGTGTTTGAAATTTCAATATTGGTCTCATATATCATATCATTCAGGACAGAAAATTAACGTTATTATAAATTATAGATACGTACATTCTAAGCACGGACATGCAATTAAAAATTAGAGATAAAAGCAATATTTGAACGGGATAAACACTTTGAATATGGATAATCTTAAGCCTATTCCGGTTAAATGAAACTCTCGCTATCGTATCTGAAACGAATATAAAAACTTCATTTCCCAGATCGTTTTTACCAAAGGCAATTTAGATGCCGTATCTGCGATGGAATCTGAAATCTCGGATAAAGCTACTGGATCTGCCTGTAGTGACACAAGCTATCGTATCTTTCAGATATATTAAATGAAAAAAAAAAATGCATTGCAGAAAGATGATATAAGAAACCATTTGCTTTAGTTACAAATGAAGACTCGTACGTTTAAACATATAATTCTTTTATTATTTCTAGGAATTTGTATATATTTTTGCGTGAGAACCAATATTAATTATCCTCTCAAGTTAATAAAATAATAATAAAAATAACAATAAAATCATTGATAAAATTTTAATCTATGTTAATTAATTATTAATAAATTTCAATAGATTGAACGGCGTGCCAAAACTTATCGCCTATCATGCTATCCATAAACTTTTTAATTAATTTAGGCGGCAAAATATTAACTTCCTTGACCAAACTTTCGTCGCAACATTACACCGCGCCATTTTGCAACTTGGCAATGAATATCACTGTAATTGAATACCGTATTAAGAGTAAATTTCATTCAAGTAAATTTCACTTAAAATTTACTGAAGAATAAAGTTTTTCTTTCCCTTCTATTTACAGCTCAGTTCGGCAATACGCTCTTGATTAAAAGATTTAATTCGTCCGACGAAGTTTTTCTCTCTCTCTCTCTCTCTCTCTCTCTCTTTCTACAATACTTGAAAGATGCAGCGACAGTTCAAGATTTTTACTGACGTTCTAGTAATGCTTGCAGCATGGAGAGTTGAAAAGCACTGACATATGTAACGTAAATTTTTATTATAAATGCAATAAGATCGCGTAACGAATATATTAGATACGACAGAAAGGAAAACGGACAAAGCAGCTCCGTAATATCCTGACATTTCCCTCTGGCGAAACAAATGTCTCGTCTCATGTATAGTTATAGCCTGCCGCAAGGAGCGAAATATCAAACTCCGTTCGCATATGCTTCGCGGTATTCCCAAAGATCCCATATGGGATCTTGGCGGAACACCTGCTTCGCTATTAACGACGCAATTCAGCAAGATATTTTCGATGTGGAAATTGTAGCCTCTGACCTCACGTTATCACAAAAACTTATGACACGAATTCGATGATTATACGATGGATGTCGTTTCAAAAAACAATCTTCTCTGTCGTCAAAAAAATTGACGTTTCATATCATTTTTATAATTACCGAGAGGAATTCGGGCCGAATATATGTTAGCCCGGATTGTCTGTTGGCTAATGAATTTACATGGTGTATTTAGCATAATTTCGCTTGTCTCGGTCGATAGAAATCATTTTCCTCTCTCTCTCTCTCCCCCAAAAAACGCGCGCTTTAATAGAGAAAACCGGTTTTTGAAACAATGCTTGTCGTATATCGTCTCGGCCTGTCGGCCGATATGTTGGGTTAAACCCCCGAAAAATGTGCGCGGCGACAATGGTCCGCCTTTCCATTCAATTGCACAATGGTTCGCGCGTCGGTTCACGACTCGAATCCACGTTACGCCGGTCGTATACTAAAACGTTGTCGTACGCTGTCAGAGGACGGAATGGGGAAGTACATGTCTTGTTTCGAGCACCCGACGAAAATTAATAATTGGCTATTTATAAGAAAACGATAGGAACTGTTACTCTCCAATTTTGATAGGCCCTGTATGACAAAACGGTCCAAAAACAGGAAATTTTTCCATATCTCTTCGTTTAGACAAAAAATTGAAACAGTCACATTCAAAGCTATATTGATATGTCCTATTCAGCCCGAAGATTGCAGAAATAATAAAAAGTATAGAAATAATGTTTCAGTCAAAAACGCAGGATATTAAATGCGCTTCGTTATCATTTAACTTTTTTTAATAAAAAAAAACCAAAGCTACAAAAAATATGGAGTCAATTATAAATATCGCAAAATATTAGGAAAATATTCCAATTTAAATTAATTTCTCGTTTTTTTTATTTTATAAGTTTAAAAATATATTCGATCAAAGCCAAATATATCGAATATTAGCTTCGATTAATGGTTTCTATTTTCGAAGCGTAAATTCACGCAATGTCACACACAAAGAAAATACGCGTGTCTTGTGTGAATCGGCTTCATGTATAATCTACCTCGGAAGCTCATCGAAATCGAAAAATGATAGCTCCGGCCGCTAATTAGCAACGGGTGTTGTCTCATGCGCCAACCGTAACGTTAGACTCACCCGCAGTGCTGAGACCAGGACTAGAGGTGAACTTCGCCACATCGACAATTTTTACGGCGAAAATCTGCCCGGTCTGACGGTGAATGCACTTCCGAACGACGCTAAATGGACCTCTGCAACAATACAAGCGAGACGTTAATAATAATAATTACGCTCGCGGTAGTTTCTCAAGTACGAATTACGCACGTTGTCTGCATAATTCGCGCGAATTATAAATACGATACGTCGATAGGTGGATCAATGCGGGTACACGATATCGTATGGTGTTAATGCTCCAGGAAAGAGAGCAATGAATTTTATCGGGAAAACACTTTTTTACATCTTTTAGCTTTCTTTGAATCAATGTTTCAAAGCTTTAGTGTCGCGTATGTCTGAACGACCGCGCCAAAAACTTGTTCTTCTAAATAATTTATTCTTTAATCAATTTTTACTCAGCGCGTGCATTTATTTACGAAATACAGCTCCCAACCCCGCTAAAAATATGAGATGTGAAATTCACACTTTATTGATTTCGATACACACCAACCAAAAGAGAAAAAAACGTTGAGGTGTATGAGGGCGTTGTAAAAAAATTTTCGAGTTCCGGTGTTAAAGGATTAATATCTTGAGATTTCTTTGACATCGTTTTTTCGATCAAGGTCATGTCCTTCCGGTCACCTGACGCCATTTTTAAATGTCACGTGCGCTGTGGCTCTTTACTTTTCCTACGCGTACATGTAAATTAGACGCGTTACATTTGCAGTCACATCCTATATCCACGTGAAAATTTCACGGAGCTTCAATTAAAATGATGATGACCAGAAGGGCCAGTCCGCACTTGTCGCAAATTTGTCAAATATTTTTGTTGATGACTCACCTACCAGGCATTAAAGAATTAAGATACTTCGAATGAATTCCTTTAGCTAAAGAAAGGTACGTCAAATGAATTTCTTCAACTAAAGAAATTCATTTGAAGTACCTGAACTTCTCAACATTTGGTAAGTGAGAAAGCAGCATCGTCATCCGACGTATAGCGATTACGAGAAGATCTATGAAAACAGGGAACTATAAAAGAATTTCGAAGATAATTTTGTGGCGACCAATAATTTCAACATCAAAATTAACTTTGACGCTGAAAATTAACGAGGGTACAAAAGTTTTCCTCTGCCAAGTCTAAAATATCGTACGTTTTAAAATACACTGCTCTTTCTCCGTATACATGTCTAATAGATGACCAATATGTCGTTTCCGATAAGGTGACCACTTCTTAAAAGTATATATATCTATATCACTAGACAATCGTATATATTATGGTTATCTTTAGCCAGCATTACCCGGTGGCTTGTACACACAGAAGATAAATATCGAACAAAACGTCGATATTTCGAAAGAAAAAGACTCGACATCAATTTGCGACTTAGAAATAGAAGAAACGAGAAACATTACGTATATCAGACGGTCTGTTCTCAGATTATCTCTAAGTCAAGGATGGAAATTGACAGTTGGAATTTCTCTGTATCGACATTGTGCGACTAAAGCGCGTGAGATGCATGGTTCTGAAACGGACACGCACTCTGTGTGCGTACGAGTAGGTCACGTAATCAGGTGTGTACTTAAGGGTTGAACTTGGCGGTCTTGGTTATCCATCGAATAATAACCACACGCGCATTCATGGAATTCATGAAAATCCACAATGGAGAATTGTGTGCGTATAGCTTCAGACGCAAGCATCTGCCCTCGCGGGTTGCACGGTGATGATGATGCGTCATCGAACTCCTACATACGTTATCAATAAATCGTGTAAAGTTTTCTTTATGTATTATCTGCACAGTAATAGCCCGTTATTCCTTCGGAGGATGCCTCATTATCTTTATATCATCCAAAACTTCTTTTCAAAATTCTTCAAAAATTGAAAATTTGAATTTCAACAAATGGAGAGAACTAGTCGAAACGACATTGACATTTTCTACGAAAAATAAAGCACCGTACAACTGTACTTTTCGTCTGAAGAGCACGGCCCGTTGCATCCTTCGATGCATTTCTAACATAAGACAATAAATCAATACGACACGCGATGTGCATTCTCTCAAAAATACGCCCATGTAATTCGTTCAACACATGCGCTGGCTGTCTGTCTCCGGTACATTATCAGTCACTGAATACATCCACTCTCGTTTTTCGTTGTTAAAAGCTCTCTTGCAAGACACGGCCCTCGAGTGCCTTAAGGCCTTCGTAAAGCGATTGGCACGAGGGCGTAATCCGCCTTTTATGAGAAGTTATTGACATCTCGTCAGTTTCAGAGGGGGTCAAATACTACTGCGGCCTACATTCGAAAACGATTTCCCGCTTGGGAGAAAATACGCACCCGAACATCTTTTACCTTTCCGTTCGAGCGAATGCGATATGTGTCGTGTGCACGCGAGTGTGTATGTGTATGTACAGGCTCTTAAATTTTTTCGTCGATCTTTCAACGTAGCGCGCAATCGAACGGCACGCCTCTGTTGCAAACGATAGATCGAGACTTATCGATTTACAGAATTCCCTACACGTTTCATTAAATATCATGCTATGCTGATATAACGTACATGAATAGCATTTCTTTTTATAGAGCGCACGTGGGTACCGATAGCGCACACGTTCTCACCGTCGTCTCGGATGCGTATTTAACCTCCCGGCCATTGTAAATTGAACCTCGAATCCGTCGCAATTGAACTTTGCCCGCCGTTCAATGCCAGTTAGGTCGAAGACTCTCGGAGAATATCGCGGCTACGTGCGATCGCGTTTCATACAGAATTCTGCCCCCTCCCTCTCCCTTCCGAAAATGGCAATTAGGATATCGGCTCGGCGTGTGGCGTTCAACCTGTTTGAAATTTCACGTGGATCCAGACAGCATGCTGCTCACGCCGTAGCCGTAACTTACGCTAGCTCAACATAACTTGCCGTTGATTAGAACATGCTGCGCCCAAATTGCTGATTTATAGCCTAATCAAGAGCTCGATAAAGCGGAATTGGTCGTTTTACGCGACCGAAAGTAGGCCGTATAATTACGTCTGTAAGAACACGTTCTCTTCATACTTCGTATACCATTGTTATAACTCTCTCCTTGTGATGTCTCTTTGACAAACGTTTCAGGTGAACAATTCTATGCGCTTTGCACTACATCTTGTAATTGTATCTAACGGATTATACCGTTATGCGAGACGCGAATTATGCGCGCATTAATATAAAGGCGTTTTCACTGGTAACTTTCTTCGGCGGAGCACGTCGATAAATTTATCATAATTGGATCTCGAACGTTGCCTCGTGTAAACCAGCCGCACTCGGTGCCAGAGTACATCGTCGAGATACGCCGGTCAAACATTAACACTCCGTCTCTATACTTCATTCGTTTCCGCGTTATTGGAGGCACGATGACGGACGCGACCGACCGCGGCAAGAAGAGGGAAGGATGGGGAATTGAAACCGCTAAATGGGATTGTTAGCGAAACTCGGGAATAAATAACGTCTCTGGCAGACGATGTTCACGAGATTCAGCGGGATTCGTTTAACCCGCTAAAATACCTCCTTTTAGTCCCGACTGACCCTCTTCTCGTCAGGTTATTCAGTTCGCTTTGGCATCGCGCGTACTTTCCGCAGTTACTCTTATCGACACGTACAGATCACACGTGCTACGGTCAACCGAAACGTAGCACATAAATGCGGCACAGTACTCGTCTCTCCTTCTATGGCTCTGTTAAACTTAAGCCGCGCCGTCGCGCTGATATTACGTAGCCTTGCTTCCATGTATTACTATCATGAGTTGCTTATTACTTGGCACAGGAGTTCGTAATAATGAGACTCGATTTCGCCCGCTTCCTACGAACTTGGGTATTTGTTAAATTTATACGGCACTTTAGTTAACAGTATGAAGAATATCAACGCATACAAATACACGAGAATTTTGCCGATCCGGTTCATTCCTCGAGTCGGTTATAATTTTAGAGAATTTTAAAGAGGTTTAGGGCCGTTCCAAAAGGTCCAAAAATATTTAATATATATACCCGGAGAACAAAATGAGATTCAAGTAAATAATGACTTTAATACTTCTTAGTATATTTAGCATAAAATAATTACTTTAATATATTTTTTTATTTGAATTAAATAAATTAAAATATTACTTAAAACTTACTAACATGTTACTTGATCCAAGTAAAAATTTGCTAAGGAATATTGGAGTAATTATTTACTTGAATTTAACATTTTTTTTCCTGTGAACAATATTATTAAAAAGCATACTGTCTAATGTAAAATTCGAGTAAGTATTAATAAATATTATTTTTATATTCATATATATTAATCATATCGCGTATATATTTAATAGCCTGTATCCCGTCAGTTAATTAGGACATATTCAAATTAATCGAATCAAGCATTGCTTGCCTCTGGCGATATAATACACCCATACAGTATAATAACGAGAAACGGTAGCATTTACATACATGAATTTGCATGCAATACCAAAATTCCCGAGCGAGTCGACGGTAGCTTACTGTGTGTCCCTACTTTAGAAGCAATGAATTGTAACATCGCATTGAAGATCTTTCTACGGCGCTGGCGCCGAGTGAATCTTTCTGCTACCCAGTTCGGATATGCAGAGTGCTGCAAGACTACCGAATATTCTTTTAGTCATTAAAATGCGAATTAAACGAAAGATCGCCTGCAACTTCGCCAAAAAGAAAATTACGGGCAAGATTTTTTATCTGCGTCCACATATCAGCACCGTTTCCGCGTAACTGAAGCGAACATGATTTGTAAACAACGACACTTGACGTTATCTTATTCACATAACGGCTGATATCTGCTCGAAATTTTCACAGTTACCGTCTCTTTTATGTATACATAGCAAGTTGACGAGTGTACGTTGTTAACCAAACTGCGTAATTCTTTGCTTTCTTCACTGTGGCGTAATTCACTGCGGCTTCTTTTTAACCGTACAACCATCCGGGAACAGTCATGTTGGTGATCGTCCCGTTTCTTGCATATGTCACTTGGATACTCTTAAGCTCAACAAACGTTGGTAATCTAATTTCTTTAATAACGTTAAATATTCGCGAATATTTCATTTATTCATAGACGTGTTATTATACTAATAATTTTTAGGTGCCGACTGTACGATCTTCATAAATTACCCACAAGGCGATCTTAAAGAGCCTCAACCGTTGATACTGAGAGAGAACAACAGTTATAAAAGTTTCCTGTATCCGGAAAACAACGATGGGATATTGCGAATACGCGCGGGCGCTACCATTGTTTTGGCATGTCCAGGCAAGAATAATTATCTCAAAAACGAAGTTTGGGGTGAAAAAGCCGAAGCGGTCTGTTTACGAAATAAGTTGTTTCACGTGAATGGAGGTACCTACGATTTTTCGAGCTTAATTTGCGCGAAGAACGCTGTGGATAGTACCAAATACATGAAACCGCCACATTACGCCTGCAAGCATACCTCCGTTGAAATTGGTTTCTACATGGGCAACACCTTCATTCCTACTATTGAAATATGTCGTGACGACCGAACGTATGCGACATATTATACGAAGTTCCGGATGACGAGACACATCGACAGTTTCCAGAAAGGATATCCTAGGTGAGATCTTCTAATTACGAAATGTTCCGTTATTCGCCTGCATATCTTTTTCTAGAGGATTTTTGGATAAATTTAAGTGTTCTTTATCTTCGTGAAAATACCATAAAGAGTACAAAATTAAAAAATTTTGAGAATATTCAAATAAAATTAACCTATATCGCATACCTGGTAAAATAAATGTATCGTATTTGCTAATCCAGTTGCAATAAACAATTAACAGAGCTATCTTTTACAGTTTTTAATAAAATTATGACTATAATACGATCATTGCGAGAAAAAACGTAAGCTGGAAAATGCACAGTGCTTGCATTACAAACGTAGTATTATGAAAGAAAATATGAGATCGTGCTTAACCGATGATCGCTTGTTTCAGACCGCGATTCAAGCAGGGCAAGTTTTATCAAGGAATAAGCGTGGACAATCTATATCAATTCGACACCCAGAATGAGACTCTCACTAAAATTCTGGGATCGTCCGAGTTGCTGAGGGGACGATTACGCAAATCAGTGCAGTACCTCGCTCGCGGTCATCTAGCGGCCAAAGCGGACTTCGTGTACGGTTCCCAGCAGAACGGCACTTTTTGGTTTTTGAACGTCATGCCTCAATGGCAGTCCTTCAATGGTGGTAACTGGAAATTTTTAGAAAACAGCATCAGGGACGTGGCTAAAAATCGGCAATTGGAACTCGATGTTTACACGGGAGTATACGGTCAGATGACCATGGCGGATATTAATAGCATACAACAGCCCATATACTTGTACCCCGAACGTCGAATTTTGCCCGTACCTAAATACTTTTGGAAGATCGTCTACGACCCGTTGCTCAAGAAGGGTACCGCGTTTGTGGGCCTAAACGATCCATTCGTAGAGTCGATCGCAGACATCAAATCTCTGTACCTCTGTACGGACGTCACTAAACAGATCAAGTGGCTAAACTGGTCTCCGAACAATATCACGGCCGGTTTTTCTTACGCATGCTCTGTCAATGAGTTACGAAGAAAGGTGTCCGAAATACCAAATTTTCATGTGACCGGTCTTTTAAAATGATATGAAAACGAATCACTCCAGTGGACTCCGATTTTGTACATATCGCAGTATTAGGTAGAAATAATGAAATTTGCTATCCTGACAGATTAATTCTTATAATTTTCAGTTTTCTCTTCATATTTAATGTTTTCAGATATTACAACGCAATCATAAGTCACTACCGCGAAAAATATTTTACGATTTATGTTAGGTATTGACAAAAAAATTGAAATGCAATTCATACGCCCCGTCAAATTATCTTAACAAATTTTTAACAACCTTTATAAATTTGACGACTCATTTGTGATATTTTTATCTATTGTATAGAAGATTTGCATCTCGTTTGATTCTAATATAAAATTATTGTAAAGCTATTTAATAGAGAGAACTCTCTGATAAAGCTTGTACGGAACAAACCGTATTGGATTGCAGTGACCCGGCTGGCCGATTTCCAAAATGCACCAGACCCAGAGAGAAATACGTAGCGTCTCAAGAACAAATGAGTTATTAAACGAATGCATCACGTAGACATAAATCACGTAACATGGGGATACAACTTCTTATTAAGACAAATTGCCCTGAAGGAATTATTTCGATACGTTGAAACAAGAATCACTCGTGCATGACGCGTTGCACTAAAAAGTATTCTTGAAAAATTACATGTTAATCAGATATGAGTCAACTTTATCTCGAGTACGATAAAGCAAGATTTATTTTTAAAGACTCAAGTTTCCGGACAGTTATCTGCGTCATAATTTTGCAAGAGGACTCGTTTCTCGCAGGAAAGATACTGGATATCTTTCGTAGACCGAGAGACGCGACAAATCTGTACGTGCAAACAACGGACGAAGTTTAACGTTGACTGTTTTTTCCAAAAAAGTGGAAGTTAATGGAAGTAAAATATCACGTTACGAGAGAATGTCAAATCTTACAACATGCTGTACTGATAAAGATGTGTATAATACGGAGAAGAAATATTTGTAGGAAATCACGTTCACACGCGTGCGATATTTGTTTATATCATTTGCGTATTATTTTAAATTTATTGATTCATTTATGATAGGAGTAAATAAAACTTCTATATGTAATCGTTAGAACAGTAACAGTAGTCAAATAATAACACATAATCAAATATTAGCAAATAGTACTAAATAAAGGAAATTGCAATCTATGTGATAGTGTTCTATTTTATTTACACTGTATGTTTAATGGCGACACATATTAAATAATAGAAAAAATCATTTTAGAAGTTAATTATCGTAATTTTTTCTTATAGTTTTTAACGGTAATTAAGATCGTTAAGGTCAAAATTACGGCACAAATTTCATAAGAGAAAGAGCAATACGCATGAACAGAATATATTCACTGAAGTTCGTTTAAAAAAACAATTCTATTCAAATTCATCACGCATCCAATATGTATATTTATATTACAGTAATGTAGTTATAAATAAACTGAAGCAGAACAATGCAGCACAATATGCCAACTAAATGAGAGCGAATTATTAAATACAACATATGAAAAGAGCATATTAAATATTAATTCAATGAATTAACAAGTATGAGTTCTCTCATTCTATTCATATTCCACAAAAACACGTTATTTCCTCCGCGTTCAACGATGTAGTTTCTGAAGATATCTCGTGATAGTCGTTTCATATATAAGACTGTGATATATTCATCTATGCTCGTAAACTGCGAAGTTAAGATTTTTCTGTTTATCTGATGTGCTATTTTCTATTGTTTGATATTTGCCTGAACGTCACTAGTTGTACGTCAAACAACCTGACAGCAAGTGCGACAGCAAGTAAAGGTACACAATGTAGTAACTCTGTTATCTGAAAGGAATCTGACACAAAAGCTTAGAACATATAATTAAGTTCAAGGACAAATTCCAGCAGTAAGAATTTAACCTGACTTTTGAAGAACGCGAGCGAGAGAACATACGGGACCCTCTCTCGTCCGATAGTTCGCGAGAGAAATGAAAAGGAGGGCGAGGATCGTAAAAGCAGAGCATGCCGCTTCGTATCTCGCCTTGTACGTGTCCGCATAGAGATTTAAACCCGTCGGAGCATTCTGGGGATTTCTCGGTGCTTTTCCTCACCAGCGAGACGATAAGGCATCGAGGTAAGAGTGTCGAGAGCTTCTGTTCGATAACTCTGTTTCTATTATTTTCACAACAGCTTCCGAGACAATTGATTTCTATTTATTAAGTTATAAGTCAATTCTTCCAAAAACGGTGCGCGACGTTAATTGCATCGTTACTCTCGGGTGTCTGTTATCATTTTAAAATACTTCTTTCCAATTTACCGAAAGTAAATTTGACCGTACGATATGTATAATTTCGAGTTTCGATTGCGAAGTTTTAACACCTACAGTGTGAAAGATAATTAAGAAAAAATTGTGTACACAATCTCTCGTAAGCTGGAACACGTTACTCGCGAACTCGCGGGAAGATTAACAAAACATTGCATACCAAATATTTATTTAGCCGATTTGAAACTCAATTACAAGTGGCACGATGTCGGAGATTGCGAGAGAAAATGACAATTTCAATGGCTACGAAATAAACGACAGAGAAAAAAGGGAACATGTAGCGTGTGAGAACTCTGCGCCTGAAATATCTTAAATACAAAACAAAATATCGCAGTAAGCAGTCGATTGAAAGAGAACGATTTCTACGGAGCGAAATTTTAAAAGAACCGTTTGCGCGAACTATAACTTGCAGCACTTAAGCTCAATTGACACAGAAAAGAGCGTCGGCTGTGCGACTTCAATTAGCTGTAACGAACCAAGAATGCACCACTTCTCGATAACACCATACTGAGGTTAATTGACGGGAACCCATAGCTCGTGTGGGCGTGTGCTCGTAGGGCAATCCTCGAACTGCCTTTAACGAAACGTTTGCGCACAAATCGTTACGCGACAAGACGCGCTTCTATCCAAGTTTCTATCATGGTTTAAGGGATCAATAATAGTGAGAGAAGAATGTTATAGGCAGTTTCAAATAATTTCAAATTTACTCAATAATTATTATTAAATTAACGGGAACTTGCAACTCATAATTAAAAGAGAAGCCTCTTGGACAATACACAAAAATTAATTGCACGTTTTATACTTTGTTTCGATCGATTCATGAGCACACATTTTAATGAGTTTGAAGAGTACAATTCATTATTGGTTTTGTCAGAGTTTCTAGTCGAATTCGTGACGTTTTGTGGTGGTCTGATTTAGATAAATTAATATCAAATGATCGATTGGGTCTTAGTAAGAAGCCTTCGCCGCAAGAATATTACGAATAATGCATGTTGCTTATTTCTCAGTCATGGTGAAATCTATTACTATACAAGGACGGAACTTAAAATAGGGTGTATCATTAACGCTAGGATAATACAGATTTACCGTATGGGTTCGACGTGATAACGTACAGCTAACATTATGTTGGCGCGAAGGTACATTACAAGATATTGTATAAAATACCTCATTTGAATTTCGTAAAGATATGTAGTTGAGCGATGAGTTTACGTTAAATTGTGGCATATATTTTCCGCTTTTTTAATTCGCACTTCTGATACCCCATACATTTTCCTTTTGAATTTTAATTAAGATAAGTATAAAATTAATATAAAAATTATTTGTGTTGAGCATACAAAGCGCAAATTTAAAAAATGATATCAATACCGATTAATTTCTCCGTTAACCGTTTGAGTGCCAAGGAGCGATTTTGCATTTCTTCTGTTTCGTTCGAAAAGTACCAGCGTTCTAGGCTGCAAAGCTGATAACCGGCACACGCTTGGCTTCTGTCGATGCGCGACTTTACGGCTACCATTCTGTTTTAGGTAAAAATGAAATAATGAGACAACTGATAAAAGAACGAATTTTGATTGCAATCTAACATTTGGATGCAATCATCGGAGAATAAGACAAGCGCTATCGCGCCGTTTGGCATTTCTGGATGGGGAATAAGACAAGCGAAAAAGCGCTTCTTGGCACGTTTGGACGGGGAAACAGCAGAGACGCGTGGCACTCAAACGGTTAATGCAATTATTTAATATTTAAAAACAAACCGATTATAAAATTGCATTATCACATTAACAAAAGAAATAAAGCGATATAAAAACAAAGAAAAAGGATGTGAGAGCAAACGATACAATTGAAAAAGAACAAGAACACAAATTGTAATATTAACACTTCGACTGCCACAGACATTACCGGTGACCAAAGTTTCATTAATTTATATAAAGCATGACTAATTGCACGTAACGAACTAAATATGTGGCAGGTAATAGGAAATTATAAAACTAGCTAACAGATATATATATCAGATAATGGATATATTTATTGTAACTATGGCTATTCGAACTTTAGTTAAATTTTGGGACAATCCATGAAGATCAGCGTGAAGATTAACATTTTAATAGCGGTACGATAATTGCAAACTGCAAGCAATTTAGAGGGGCAGAGGATAGATCTAAATTGCAAGCCGATGACTGTCAAATGACTGTAGCCTTTGTGATGCGTATTTGGACACAGCCAGTGCTGGTGACGTGTATTATTTTGGCACGAAGGTTGGGCAATTGAATGATAAATCAAGTATTGGCTTCCGATACCAAACGAAATTGCGCTTCTGTGACAACAGTATCTGCTTTTCAGGCTATAGTCTTTCGACAGATTAAATAAACTGTTCCGATGAAATCGATTATTGCTAACATAGCGATATTATAAAACAAACGTTAAACGCCCCGAATTGCGATTGAACTGTCAACGAAAATTCCGTATCAACAATAGAAAGTGCACTTTTAGAGAATTTCGTTATTTAGCTTGTGCGTAATATTAAACGATGTGATTTTATGAAACTTTAATTGTTTGTTAAACAGTGTATATAACGTGTACGATCAGTACATCAATCGAAGCAACAAATACGATTCGTATATATTCATCTTATTAAATATTCAAGGCACTTCGCATATAAATAGTGACATTTTTCCTCTTTTGCAAAATATTGCAGTCGCATAATATTCCATATTCTTTTTCACATTTAGAATACTTTAAATTAATACTTATCCAATTTTTTCCATAAATGCATTTTTCCGTAATATGTAAATGTTCGAACGACATGTATTAGTTAATTGTTTAAATAATAAAATTTCTACGGTATTTGTTCGAGCTTTAAATATTTATCGTTCGACGTAATCTAATCATTCAAATCCTTTTTAGAAAAATGTTAAACGTAACTCAACCGATACAAGCCAGTAGGTACACAAACGTTCCTGCGTTTTAATATTGCACACTGTAATACTCTAAATCTAAATATGCGGAACGTTTCCAACTTCATTTTAGCTAAGTAATGACGAATAGAAAAGAACGGGTTTGAACAGTACGAAATTGTAACTGGAAACAGACTTTCTAAAAAAATAATTTAATGATATTCACACGCTACCTTCCCTTATGCGATTACGCGTTGGCGTATGATTATAATATAAATGTTTACGAAACGATGAGATCAGGACTTTCGTGTACATGAAAATAGACGATTGCTTGGCGTTCGTTTTATGTAGTACAATGTAGTGCTCTAAATACGCGGAACATTCCTAACCTTATTTTAGCCAAGTAGTGACAAACAGCGAAGGACAGGTTTAAGCAGTGAGATAGTAACTGAAAACATGCTTACCTCGAAAATAAGCTAACGATATTCGCAAAGACTAGGTTGTCCGTTATCTTCTTTTACGCGATTACGTATTAATGCGATTGTAATGTGAGAGCTCACGAAACAATGCGATCAGGATTCTCGCCTACAGGGAAATGGACGACTGCTTATCGTTAAAGCATTTCGCGGTTGCACGACTTCAGATTATTCGTTAGCCAATCCCGACAGAGCAATCGACAGTGCAATCGACAGTACAATCGATGTGTATGTACATATGTATGTATGTGTATACGTGATAATCAGAGAAATTTTCTAGCGATATCATTTATTTTAACGTATTATTTTCGCATATTAAAGGTATCTTAAGCATTAGAATCGCTTCAGATTACTCTAATTACTATTTAGACCTGCACTTTTAGCTGCACTATGTTACACTTTTTGCATTCGGATATTTGCACTCGCACTTCCAGAAATCGCGATATGTTCAGTTGGTTCGGAAAAGGACGCTGTGCGGAAGTTCGTTAAAGCGTCCCGCGGTTTCCCGCGATTTCGACTCGCCGAAGTCGCGTATTATTGTTGTCGGGAGTTGTCATGCATCGTCAGAAAAGAAGAATATCATTAGACAGTCACCAAAAGCGGATAGCTCGCGGTACGAGCTCATCGGGAGTGCCGAACGAAATCTCGCGCGTTCGTTCCGTTATGGTGGCTTGTGATTCGAATCGCTACCCTGAACGTTTTCGACTCACGAAAAGAGTCTCGCGAGAGAATTATCGCCGGAATGCCAAAATAAGACTCGTACGTTTGTTACAGCGAGGTATTGTTAGGTAGCGGGTATCTCACGTAACGGTCGTCGTTCGAGACGCCGTGTGAAGTATGGCGCCTATTGAGATACTTGAATATCTCAATCGTTACGATGTTCAGCTGACTAGAAAAACGGTCTACTACGTACGCAGCAGTCGTACGTTCGAGAAGTCGTTACGAATTTATTGTGATTTCGGCTCGCGACAGGCGAGTTCGCGCGTGAATCGTCGGGAGTGCCGAAAATAAGTGTCGCGCGTTCGTTGTGGAAGAATGTCGTGAAATAACCACCGAGGGTGTATATATCGTCGACCTGCCTACCGAAAGCACCGAATAAAAGCTCGTACGTTCGTCCTATTACGGTGGCGCCGAATTCAAGTGGCTGCGTTTTTACGCTTTTATCTAACGGTCTCGCAGGGATTATCGCCGAGAACGCCGAAAGCTTCGTGCGTTTGTCGTGCAAAACATCAGTGAATCGCCGGCGAGAGTGGACATTTCGTGAATCTGACTGTTGTGAATACTGAACAGACGCATTCGTTAGGCTAGGTTATGGCAGCTCAGAGTAAATCTTCAGATAGCTGGTCTCCTCTCTCGACTCGCCGAAGGAAAAGTCGGTAAGTCCCAAATCATATTCCTTCTAAGAATGCAATTATACTTCAAAACGATCGACTTTCTCTAGAATACAAAAAAGAAAGGACACTTTGTGTAGAACTAAAAGTTAAAGAAAACATATGTAAGATGCAGAAAGTACGGTTATGTTGTGTAAGCTTGAGGAAAATATCAGAAATTCTTGGCTACAATATGTTAATAATTTTTACATTCGCACTTATAATAAAATTTTATGTTTCGTATGTACGTATCTACGAAATATTTGGATACTAATAAATCATAATATTAATATTACATATTATAGGTTAACTATTAGGTATTTTTATGAGATATTTATATCAAGTCGGTCGGTAATGTCAGTGTTCTCCAATTATCCTTGTGCCATGCGGACTCGGCTGATCATTGAGAAATATAACCTAAAACATTGCATTCCTACTTAATCTCACGAAACCTCGAAATTTAAAGATTCTTCTCATTGGTTTTGAAATTTCAATGCCGTAATAAAGAGCATAATCGTTTGTTTGTTTGACTGTTGTATATTATCTTAAGATAACGTAACGCTAGTGCGTTATTATCTCAGGTTTATTGATTGGCTCATAATAACAACATGCAAGCAGATCAGGATCATACGAATTTATTTGTATTATGTGGCATATGAATAAAAGGGGAAACAATACACTTTAGTTTTTGCTTCGCAAGCATGGGTGGCGGTGGATCGAGTTTACCGAACGGAATTCGACAAAAGTGGAGAGACTGGAAGTAGGCAGAGGAACTCTCGTGACGCGCCCGGCTCGTCTTCCTCATTCGACTCACACCTCTTTCCCCTACCTTACGCGTCGTTACTCGCTCGTTCTGTACCACACCGATGTACGAACGATGCACGTACATAGGCATTATATCTCTTATCAACGGGTCACATAGGCGCAGACGCCCGCGCACATGCACACATCTACACACTAACGCACGCGACCGACACGCTCAAGGTACCTCCGCCCACCGCCGCTCATCCAATCGCATCGCGCTTTCTCTCTCGCGCAGTACCTCCTTATACCCCTCTCTATCTATCGCAAACCCTCGCGCTCTCTCCCTCTCTCTCTCATTCTCGCTCGCCTCGCTCTTTAGGATTCTCGTTACTCACTTGCCGATAATCTCGCAGAGCTCGTAAACATCGTCGAAGAGAACCTCGTCGTCCGCCATAGTGACGACGAGGAGGAGGTCGAAGGAGTCGACCTAGGAGCTAGGAACCTGCACGCGCCAGGAGACGTGTCGCGATTACGCGAAAGCGTGATAATTCGTAGCGCGTGCGGGTACGCGCCTTTCTCTCTCGCTCCAGTCGTAGTCCCCAAGTCGACGACGTCGTTGTCGTCGTCGTTGTATTCGTGTCGCGCGGAATACGCGCGGCGTGAGCGTAGCCACGTATCGGGGATTCACGGCCGCCTCGCCGTCGCACCCGTCCCTCTCTCTCTTTCTCTCTCTTGCTCGCGCGCGCGTTCCACCGCTGGGCTCCGCTCTTCGCTTTTACGCACACGTCACGCACATAGGCACGCACACACAGTCGTGGATAATGCACCCGGTGTGTCGGCACACCACCGACCGACCGACCGTCGTCACACTGACACTCCGTCGACGGACACGAGCCCACACCGTACGGTTGCGGTGGGGTGCGATCGTGAATCGTACGCGGCGCAGCTCTGCGATACGGTGTCGGGGGAACGCCGCCGACACCGCCTCGTCGCCGTTCGAGGCGCGCTCGTTCGCTCGCTTGTTCGCACGCTCGCTCGCTCGTTTATCCTTGCTCGGCTCGCCGGCAATGTCAGGACGCACGCAGAAAACAAAGCGGTGTGGTAATATGCCAGACTGTGTAGATAGGCCTCTGTGTCCTAGCGTTGAGAGCGCGCCGAGGAATCGGATCGTGGGACCGGTGCGGTGTCCCCTCGCCGGAGCGCGTGAGCACGTTACCGGTCGTACGACAACGAATAGAGCCGAAAGACGGACGACGATGGACAATACCGATGTGACACTGCACACGCTACCCCGTCTGTCAAAGGGCCGGGGCAGTGGATTCGCTCGCTCCGAAGCAAGACTGGTTGCATAAAACGCGGCGAGCGGCTGCGCCGACCTACAGCCGTTCTCCGCCGACGCCCCCTCTGCGGCCGCGCTGTGCATGGAGGGGCGGGCGTGGCGCCTGCCTCTCTTTACTCGCAACCTTTTGCGCTTTAACGTGTCCTTTACTTCCTTCGTTGCTCCCTCGTCGAATGTGCGTAGCGCGCTTCTACGCTGACACTCGTGAACCTCTCGACGGCGATCCGCGCGGTCGAGACATCATCGCTTGGTCTCGCTCGCAGACACGATCGGTACTGCTCTTTACCAGCAGCTGCGGTATCAGGTGACCGCGAATGACGGCCTCTCTCTTCGTACTTTTGGCATGCGATGAGATGTTATTCTCAGGTTCGTAACGGTGGTAGCTACATGAAAAGCTTCCTTTGATGGTTGGTTTCTGTGGATTGAACGAGATCAGGAGTTCGGTCGGATAACTCGATATGTTTGTAGAAACTGGACGTACCCATCTTTCCCGAATGATATCGGGTATCGGCTGTCGATGTGGAAGAGTGTGATGAGCGAGAAAGTAATGGAACTGAATTGGAGCTTCGTGATGTAAAAACACATCGACGTTCAGTTTGAACTCAATAGTGAATATCGCGATCAACGTGTTGAAATTGAAATTTGTGAAAACTACACATTCAGAAGAAGTGTTAAATTTTATAAAGAATATCCTTGTATTCTATTCTCTTTTTCCTTTACCTTTTCTCTCTTAATAGATTGTTGTGAAACTAAGAGATAAAAGTACCTATTTATCGCACATTATCGTAAATATGAAAGTCCACTGAAGATATTTCCGATCTCTTCTTGTCGTCCAAATACCGATAACACCAACATTGTACGATTGCCATACCATCTTTGATAAATAACATGCTGGCTTATGCTTACAAATTTTGCTTCTCCCTCAATATACTTTAAATGCTTGTGATTGTATCCTCGTAGAACGATTATGTTCTTTCTATAAATATAATTTAAGTAGGTTCATTATAAGCATGCTGATATATATTAGAGATTTATTTTGAATTTTCTTTGATATATATAACAAATATTCATATAAAATGTACTAAAATATTTGGAATATGAATCAAGAAGTAAATAAAACATTTGTTTAATCTCACCCCGATTTTTGCCACTCTCTAATATAGGTGTTCTTTGTTTGATCTACTACCAATTTATTATAAAGTTCAAGTACACCGTGTGCTGTCTAAAAACAAATGTTATATAGTAAGCATCAAATTAGTTGCTCATTGTGTTAGATCTTTAAATAATTTAACCGTTATAGGTAAACATTATGCAGAATGATATTCTGATAGAGTATACCTCTTTACCTAGAAATGGTAAGAAAGATGGAAACTCAATATCTCAAATATGTATATATCACCAGTGCATCATCACATTAAATATTTAAATTTATGTTTACCACATTTAAATTTATGTTCATGTTCTTTCTTAAGGCCAGAGAGGACTGAAATATTTTATCAATTCTTGCTTATACTTACCATACTTGCTGCAATTCCTAGTTCCATACCAATGTCAGTATTAAGTATTGAATAAAATACATATTCATCTGGACTAACTTT